TTTTTTTTTTTTTGAGGTTCTTTGAATTATGTTGTAGTTTTAGAAGACATTTTGCTTGAAAATCTTGTAGGGAAGATGGGTTTATCGACAATTTGAGACTCAGACATGTTTCCCAATCAAAAGCATGTGAGTACACTTCATGTTATAAAGAACACCAAGTGTTTGACAAATTGCAAAAACTATTGTTAGTGTTTAACTCCACATTTCTTCCTATCATATTGTTATTTTGTCTCAGATTTGGTTACCAAGATTATACAGTTTATTGTTGGTTTGGTGTTCGTCGGAACTGTTTTTGCCCTCATTAGAGCCTTCCTATTGCAAAGAGCAAGAAATGTTTGGGGTATACAGTCTGTGTATTCTTCAAAAGAAGGCGGCAAGGAGAAGAGACATCTCTCAGAGCGTCAACTAACACTTTTGGGATTAAAGCCAAAAGCAATGGAGAAGGTAGAATCAGATTCTGCTAAGAAACCCCCGAAGTCTAAGCCCTACTCAGGGTTTTCACCATCAGATCCCCTTTTCCCTTTACATCATACTGGCCCTAGTCCTAGTCGTTCACATAGGATTAGTGCCGAGAAGGCAAGCACTAGTGGTGGAAGTAGATCGAGTTCATTCTATACGCCGTCCAAGTCCCCTGGGTCACCTTCTTCCCTGTATCTTGTCCCCTCACCTTCCTTACAGGGATCATCAGTTAAAACATCACCTGGAGTAGATCGCATTGTCTCAAGTCCATGGTCAAAGCAGCGAACCCCCACTGGAAAAGATGTTGCTACCGAGGAAATGCTTGAGCAGTTCTTGGCAGACGTCGATGAAAAGTTTACAGTTTCAGCAGTTATACAGACGACGCCTCCACCAACCCTTGGTGGGTTTGGCATAGCGAGTCCTACTCCCGTTGGTAATTCAGCTAATACTTCGGGAACAACTAGGAGTACACCACTTAGGCCTGTAAGAAGAATGTCCCCAAGCTCTCAGAAATTAAGGACACCCCCAAAGAAAGGAGAAGGTGACCTTCCTCAACCCATGTCAATTGAAGAGTCAATTGAAGCTTTTGAGAATATGGGCATTTACCCCGAAATCGAGCAGTGGCGAGACCGCCTCAGGCAATGGTTTTCATCGGTGCTGCTTAATCCACTAGTCGACAAAATAGAGACCACTCATATTCAGGTTTGTCAATCTCATGAAAAGTTTCTATCTTAGAATAGCAGTTCATGTGGTGTAATAGGAGGAAAATGGGACCAATTATTCTGACGGGTCCACTAAATGTCTCTGGATTATTTTTTTTCTCCTCTTACCGACTAAATATCCTGTTGGTTTCTAGGTGATGCAAACAGCTGCTAAGCTTGGTATTTCAATCACTATCAATCAAGTGGGAAGTGATTCCACAGCTACCACAGTTCCTTCAACAGTTTCTCCAATTGATGGGACAAAAGAATGGCAGTCATCCTTTACAGTGGATGAAGATGGGCTTCTTCATCAGCTACGTGCTACTCTGGTGCAAGCACTTGATGCGTCTGCTTGTAAGTTCCTTTAGTATCATTTTATTGTTAGTAGCGATCATTTGTCTCTTTGCAACTATAGGTTGAGTTGACACCATCGTCAAATGTTGCGACAACTATTTAATCTCCATCGCACATTTTGTGTGCTTCTTTATTTACAGTGCTGTGTGAGAAACTTTAGTAATTATATGTGCCTTTGGCAAAACCCCTACCACATCCATTTGTAGTTGTTGTTTTCAATTTGTAATGTCTTCAAAAGGGCCTCTACTGAGCTCTATTTAAATGCCATTGCTGTCCATTTTGTGATAATAACTGGTGACTATATAACCTTCAAAACAATGATAGGCCACAAGTGCATACTGTGTTTGTGTTTGTGTATGTGTGTATATGTTTCCTTCTCAGTTTTACTTTCTGTCCGTTTTTTCTCTGATTTGCTTTCTAAATACCAATGTTAGCAAATAGCAACAAGTATTTTGTAGATTGTAGTGGCATTTTGAACTTCATAGTATAAATTTCGAATCAACGATATGCTGTTCCTGCATATTATTTTTACAAAATGTTAAATAACCTTCATAGCGAACATACTCGTGTTTTCTTTTTTCCATTTGCATGCATTTGTGTTATTGATATATGCCGTCAAGGGAGACAATGTGTGCCACGGATCAAAAGAAAAATTTTAATATAAGAAACCTAACCTCCAAATAAGGATACACCCAACACTAAATCCACCTTTTTTGTTCTTTTTCCACGAACTTCTTCTTACCCATGAAACCTTGTCATATAAAAGTTAGTTCTTGTGTTTCTAAATTGTTTTACTCATGTGTCTTTATTTTGACTTCTTTTGGGGTTTGCTTCTGCTCACAGCAAAGCTGCCTTTAAGCCATCTTCAGCAACCCCAACAACAAAATCCATTAATCCCTGCTATGCAAGAGTGTGTGGATGCTATTACTGAGCACCAGAGGCTTCATGCGCTGATGAAAGGAGAGTGGGTTAAGGGCTTGCTACCACAAAGCAGCGTTCGCGCAGATTACACAGTTCAAAGGATCATAGGTAACTATATATCTTCTTCTGACTTTATCCTTGATT